ATACTCTCCAGCGTGAGTAAAGATTCCACAAGCTGCCTCAAAATATGCAGTGCCACCTAATAATTTCAAAATAAAGCCAGAAATATGAAGACAAAAGAAACAACTCTAAAAGACTAAAGTCTAATATTGAAGTGACTTATTCTTTTTCTTCTGCCACTCAGGTTTTATACTGATGGATCTGAAAAAATGTTTTAACTGAAATGGTTTGATCTTTTACCATTACTCAAGCCATACTCTCACTGCAATGACATTTCATTGATCAGGTACATATACCCAGAATAGTTTTCACTAGCTATTCTTTTTTTTTTTTTTAGGATCTTAAGCTGGTTAAATATAAAAAGATATTTGCAACTCAAATGTATTATTTCATAACATACTGATTTTCCGTAAGAAATTCTGATTCTTATTTGTTAAAAGGAAACACTGGACAGCAAAACACTTCATTCATCTATGATGTGACTACCATTAAAGACTTGTACATAATATTATACACATGAACTTTATACAAATAATCCACATTCAGCTTTCCCTCATGAAACAGCAACACACATGCACGCATACACTTCACCTTGCATACAAGCTATGTACAAAGCTTATGCAGCTTTTTCTAACATGAGCTAAGATACAGCAGTATTTAATGCTGAGCGCACTTAAAGGTCACTGCATAAGGCCTATTGCGTTAAAAAGATGGCACTGGAAACACATACACCCACACTAGTTCAGTTATGTTTACAGATGCTCTTTACATATAAATAGGCTGCTGATTATCACAAACCTTGCTGTCCTTATAGGACTTCTGAAACATAAAACCACGCTGTTGCAGCTATGAAAAAGAAATCATGCTGTGAAGAGCCAAATAGAAGCAGATATAGGGAGAAAGACCTGTTTTGTATGAAGTAGTTCTTAAAGATCGTTTCTATACTACAATTGCTGCACATTTATATTGTTGGTTCATAAATTTCAATAGTACATAATATGTTTTTTCTTATTTACTTCCTAGATTTTGTAATATTGCCCCTAATATTATCTACTGCAGCTAAAAAGGAGCGTAGAAAAGTGCTACAAATCTTCAGGCTGTATTCATTTCCCTCATCTATACAGTGATTAACCATTATACAAAAGTGTAGAGACCCACCCTGAAATCCTGTTCAAGTAAGAATTCCTGTGATGTTTCATAATTTCAATGACAGAGGACGGACTGAGTAAAGATCACAAAAGTATGTTTTATACAAAAGTATAATTTAAAAACCATGGAAATACATAACGAAGTTGTTATAGAAACAGCTGAAAAACGAAGTCAATGCAGAATCCACATCCCTCAATGATTTGCAGAGTTTCACTCAAACATGATGCAAATAAAAAAACCACTGATGCAAATCTCTTACAGTTCAGCACGGGTTGACATATTGAGAACACACCATTGTCCTTACCATGGCTTAGAATTTCACTGCTTTAGTCACTGAGCCAAAACATTTTCATATTATTAAGTCCTTTTATAAAATTATCAGTTAAAACAAAGAAATAAAAATTGCTTCTTAAGTAGCGTAAGTTAGGGTAATGACTAGTACATCACAACTTTTTTGAAAACACACAGAGACATGCTTATACCAGACTAACTTTCAATATTCAAGCATCTCAAGACCTTTAGATGCAATAACATCCCAGTGTGTCTTGCATTCTAGGAAGTACTGCTGACAGGGTTGCAAAGAAAAGAAATATAGCCATGCCTTCCTTGAGTAACACTCAAAAATCACATTACCTAAAAATTACAGACGCCTACAATCTTAACTGTAACCAGTTTAAAAAGTCTGTGTTACTGGAGTTGCTAAAAATATTTAGTTAGAACTGTTCCAAGTGAGAATAACTACCTCCCGCCCCCACTCCAAAATTAGGCAAAGCTGCTATCCCCTTTAGAACATAATCACCAAGATGCCTTCTTTTTTTTTTTTTTTTTGCTAATGTGCATAATTATGCTGTTTTGAGATTCCTTAAATTTGACTTTTTCCTCTACATTTAAGATTTTTTTAATCTCTTATTGATTAGCAGTCCCAGCCCCATTTCTGTAATGGAACAGGGACCCCTACTTTGGTCTTCTCTGTAAGAATTACTTCTACGAGTTGTTTTTTTTTTTTAAATGAAGTGTGTCTACTAATAAGGACCTTTTAAAACTACCTTATTTTCTCACAAGTTGACTTTTTTATGATTCTCAAACTGCTGACCAGAGCAGTAATTAAGACAACACCATCTCATACAGACAAGGAAACAACCAGTTTTTTAGTTCTAATCTTGACAATGACAGAAGGGGATGTCTGAAATGCAATGTCAGTCCTGGAAGAAGCCTTATTAGCATGGAGAGCTAAAGATTAAAATACCACTCTTTCTCGAGATGAAAACCACTACCAGTCACTTGCTCCTTCATTAACTCTCATATTTGTCCCATAATGAGAGCTTTAAAGAGTAATAAAATTACTTTACTGGATTCTTCTATGTCTCCTGGATATGCAAAGAGCAAATAAAAACCCCACTCTTGATATACAGACATTCAATCTTTTTACAGCAATCACTGTGATTTGTTAAACAGACATAGATTCATAGATGTATATATTCAGACATGTATTCAACCCTCCTGACATGACAGAATTTGTATAGAGCGTAAAGAAGTACTTCTACAATAAAAATGATACCGTATGGTATATTGTACTGGATTTCCTTGAAGCACAAGATGTCAATACTGACCACCAAGAAGTAGCTTTATTTATAAATTAAGAAAATGCATTTTGAAATGCTCCCTATAACATTTGTATACTGCATTAGATTTTGACACTGCCTATATCCACAATGACTGGGAATTTAAATCATTAACAACACAATTCAGTTCCAAGTACAGTTAATGGAAATGTTTTACAGACCTCAATATGCTTTGGATTCAACCCTACATTAGGGACAAATCATTTCTAGTCACTCCATTTGAGCCTGATATTCATCTGACAGGGATTAAACAGGTGAAATTGATATTAAAATTTGATACTGTAAACGAGACTAAATACTATGGTCTTATAGCCTCACTGAATTTAGTTTCTTACAGTAGTATAAAGGTTATACATACTACCATATTTATTTCAGAAGATACAGAGAAAACTATTTAGTTCAATTTAGCACTTCCCTGCAAATATATTCTCACCTTGAACAAAGTATTAAACATGGGTAAAATCAGAAAACCACCCCTTCAAAAGGACAAGCCAGTCACTTAGACAAAATCAAAGTACTATGTAGAGAAGGAAATCTCCTTAGCCTTCGATTCCATGTGCTGTAATCCAGCCGTATTGACATAGGCCGTTAGATATATAACAACAAAGTAAATAATGTCGCATCCTACTTGTACCTTTTATACATAAGACACAAGCATATCAACCACAAGCGTAAATAAGAGTTCAGTGAAACAGCATTATTTTACAGATGTTCATGGTATCAACAACTTTCTAAACCTAGAGTAGCTTTAGCCTTCTGCTCAAATTTCATTCTTTCTTTCCTCTTCTGTATACATTCTATCTCTACTCAGTTGCATGTTAAGTTCTACATTCATTTCCAATGTCTTTAACAAAACATAAACTAGTATTTTATTCTCAACACACCAGTTATCAAGAACAGTAGAGAGATGATAAATGAATATCCGAAGGAAAGCCACCTTAAAATTAAAAGCTGATTCATAATCATATATTGTACCAAGTTCTGAAATTGCAGAAGAAACATGAAAGAAATTTGAAATTCATTACTCATTACATTTCCCTGAAAAGCTCCCAACTTATAAATATGCAGAAATAGAAGCTGTAAATGTAGCTTGTAACTAGTTTATAGTCCAGACAGTCCTAGGGTCACTACAAAACAAAATAAGACGACTCGAATGTAAAGTTTAAAATTAATAAAATGCACTTGTATTAGTATATTAATCATTCAGAATAAACACATATATGAAACAAGAATACATTTTTATATGTGTTAATTGAAGGTGTAGTATGTCATCATAGCTCAAAGCCATAAAATTAATGTAAGCTGACTGCATGTTAATGTAAGCATGAAACAAAAAAACCCATATGGTAATCTACCATGATAAGAAGGTCACGGTCAGCAACATTATCTATTCAAGGAAACAGTCTGCCAACAGTTCTATAAAGCACTACCGTATTTCATCATTAGAAGCATTTCTTTACTTCCCATGTAGAAGAAAACCTTGTGGTACATGGCAATCTCAGCTGTTGCTTGTAGTCAATGAGAAAACAGGCTTTTTAAACACAGAAGAAAACCTGAATGTGCAAATGTCCATTTTGCCATTTCATTTTACCATGATAGCTTATACTCTGTGTGCAGTATGTTGCTAGAAAAAGAAACAGAACTATTCATACTTATTTCATATTAGTATGTGAAAAACATCTTCCACAACCATTAGGTCTACACTGCCTTTTTCAGAAAAGAGCAACACTCATTGCCTGATCAGTTTATTCTTTAGAAAGAAAGAGCTGATGACCTGTGTTTTCACATTTCCTATGGTGATTACTTTCATTTTTTACTCACTTAACTATGAACTCCAGAAGAAAAACAGAACTGTAGTATTTATTATTAATCTATAGTAATAATGCATCACAATTAATATAAACCACAAAATAAGAAACGAGTAAGACTGTCAAATTGTTGTCAAAATCTTTGCCCCCAATTTCTTTAGCAGAATACAAACTAGATGTGTGTTGGAAACTACCATGACTAATAGAAATTTTAAAGTAGAAAAACATAAAAGGGTACTAGAAAATTAAGGCAAGGAAACCACGTGTAATAACCCGCCAGTCAAACTCTACTGGATTTCCCACACTGCAAATATGCTTTCATTCTCTTCTATTGCTTTCTTGGTAGAATTATAGCATTAAACACGTAGTTATGAAAGTAGACTTTAAGTAAAGAAATGTAAGAAATCAAAGAGTTTGAGCTATCATAAGCTCATTATTTGATACCTTGCTCTATACTGCCACTTCTTACTGGAACTTGCGGTAGCTGTCTTCCTCTGCGACTGCTGAAGGATGTGTCTGCAGAAGGAGACTGTGTGGGACTTCCTTGTTGATGTATTCTGCAAATGAAATGAAGATAAAAGAAAATAATCCAAATGAAGACAATTTTTTTTTGTTCTGAATTTTAAACACATATTATGTTGCAAATACTGAAGATCTGAAGAAGTTTGCATTTGGTCTATGCCATATGCACATACTCAGGCCTAGATACCTAGTTAACTTGTAAGGCCTCACATTTAAGTTCTCTAACTGCTTTCAACTAAGGGGAAATATTTTCCTTTGTTTTGTTGCATTTTTTTAAAATAAAGTACTAGCCAAAAAAATACTGTATGAAAAACAGTTTTCTAAGAACCACTTATGATTATGACTTGCAATTTATGTATTTTCTCCTGCACTAGTACAAGGGCAATACAAAATGCCACCTCTAGGTGGCAGCACGTTTAGGTGCCGGAAAGGGTGCAACAAAGGGGCAAGAGAGGGGCAACAAAGCTGGTGAAAAGCCTAGAGAATAAGTCTTGTGAAAAGCGGCTGAAGGGACTGGGGCTATTTAGTCTTAAGAAAAGGAGGCTGAGGGGAGACCTTATTGCTCTCTACAACGACTTGAGAGGACACTGTAGAGAGGCAGGTGCTGGTCTCTTCTCACAGGTAATTAATGATGGAACAAGAGGGAACAGACTCAAGCTGCACCAGGGTAGGTATAGGCTTGACATTAGGAAAAAATTTTCCACTGAAAGGGTTGTCAGGCATTGGAATAGGCTGCCCAGGGAGGTGTTTGAGTCACCTTCCCTTAATGTGTTTAAAGGTTGTTTAGATGTGGTGCTTGGAGATATGGTTTAGGGGTGTGCTTGGTAGAGCAGGGTTGATGGTTGGACTCGATGATCTCAAAGGTCTCTTCCAACCTGAATGATTCTGTGATTATCTATATTTTATCAGCTTGTCTATTCCCTTTGCACTGATGCAATAATTGGACTCAGGCACAGAGAACTGGACAGCAAGTATCTATTCCCATGGGATAACATATTGTTTTTCCCTGAACTCAAAGGAGGAAAAACACATTTAACCTTAGTATTGGGAGTGTGTGTGTGTACAAGATTTTTAATATTTGTAAGCTAAGTAAATATTCTAAAACTCTTTTGGCTGAATACTACCTAGCACTATTCCAGAGCATCTTGGCTACTTGGTTTCTCATACATAGATACAGCATCCAAGTGTAACACCTCAAACACCTTTGGAATGCTAGTAAGTTTGTATTTAAAATAAGTAGGTCTTAAGCCACCTCTAATAACTATGGGAAAAGTTTAAGTAAGTAAAACAAAGATGAAAGGAAGCAGACCACTGAGAGGGAGCGCCTACTCTTTAATGCCCTTGCCAGTTAATGTAATATCACACTCACTATAGCGGATAAGCACTGTTTATCTACTGCGCTAAGGTTACAAGCAGATAATTTGCAACTTTAAGTAACACATTTGTGCAAGTTCAAAATACTGTTGGCTTTCACACTCTGTAGATCAACTGACTTTCCCTTAGCCTGTAAGGTCAGTTAGCTGTGTGAACAGCATGTGATTTCCCGCACAGTGTTTAAGAGAAATACTTTGATAATGTTCATATGGACACAGAACAAAAGACAACAATGGGAGGACAAAACACAGTCAGCTTTTTACTCTTACATTGCATAACTATTTAAGTTCAACAGCAAGAAGTACCATCTAGATGGTGAAGAAAGGTGGCGTAAAGGATATGGGAGAAGTGTAAGTACCATGACAAGAGGATAATCTACAGTGCCAGAATGAGTGAAGGAGCCATGTATGCTCAGGAAAGTACACCACCACACTCACACCTGGGAGGCGGAACATGAAAGCTGTGCTGTACACATAATAGCAACCTTGTCAGAAGTGGAGAAGGTGGCGCCGACCCTCCGGGCGCTAGCTGATGTACAGAGCATAAGGGTCTGATACTAGAGTGCTCACTCGACCTTGAGCGAGTGTGATGTTTTCCCCTAATGACTGGCTGTTCAGTTGTTCGTGGGGTTGGAAGTCCCCTTCTAGAAAGAGATGGTAGCAGACCCCTAAAACATCAGGGCCAAAAAGAAACTGTTCAGTTGTTAGCTCCAGGCACACCTTTCCATGCCCCCCTCCATCAAACAACATTGTAAATCCTGGCTGCAGGAGCAGGGTTGACTTTTCAGATGGAAGTTATTAATTCTGAATACAAATCCATTTTCAAAGTGATGAACTGCAGAACATTCATCACTGCAGATACACATGACCCTAATTGGAACTGTGGAACTGCTGAACTGCACTGCATGTATAGGACAGTTGGCTAGCTGCATCTTAAACACAGCAAACACAAGCTAACAGCACCTATCACATAAGTACTAGCACAGAGTAGGCTATGAACAGCTAGTTTTATCACAAAGCATTTCTGTTTCTAAAACATAGCTTTTATCTTTATTAAAAATTTTAAATGGATTTCAATTAGTGTCCTAAAAAAGGACAATATGTGAGCACATATATAATTCCCTTGGTTTCCTCAGGAGTTTGAAATAAGGAATCTATTTAAGCATCTTTTTGCTGTAAGCCCTAAAACAGAAATACAGTTCTGAAGGAACTCTAGTGAAAATACAATTAAAATATGCAGTAAAATGATTAATCATGTTAGTATAATAAAGCATAATTATTAGTAGTTTAATAATTTCATACACTGCAAGTAGAAGATAACCTGAAACATTTCAAGTTTGAAGAGTGACAAAGTATTCTAACCGTGCCTTTTTAGTCTCTCTCGGTTTCCCAACAGTACAGCATTTTGTAAATTGTACTACTGTATCTGTCATTATTTCAAAAATTTTGATTTCCTGTGACACAGTTTCATTGTGGGTTTTTTGGTTTGTGGTTTGTTTGGTTTTTTTCTTCAGATTTCTGCAGACTTATGAAACCTCCCTTCACACACCCAGCACAACTTTCCCACAAGATCCAGTCAAAGTAACCAAGGGCCTGTCTAGTTCCTATGACTATCATACACTGAAAAGACATACTAAAAAGAAAAGTATATATGAGATAGTGTGCAGATGCCTACCAAGGATAACAAACAGGTTTAGTTTCAAAGCCATTTCATCAGTAGCAGTTTATGGAAGAACTGGAAGTCCAGTCACAATGCAACAAAATCATGATTCTATTGCCCTTGCTATATTCTCTCTCCCAAACACTACTGCTTCCTTAGCTTAACTCCTGGCTTGCCCTGGTGATAACCGCAACATTCTTGCAGAGATGGATTCCCCTGACTCTAAAAGATCATTATGATAATGAAGATGAGCTGAGTTCTGAAAATGCCTATTTCTCCATGCTGACTGTAAAAGTAATCCATGACAACTATTGCCTGCAACCAGCTTTTAAGCACCTGTTTTATCAGATGATTAACCATCATGACATTCATAAGGTAAATATAGATCCCACTCTGTGCTAGAAAGTACTTGTTTGCTTTTACTATGAATGAATGCTCCAACCTAACAAAGCCATCACATTCTCAGTTCTCATTTTTCTAATTTTAAAGGCAAAAAGTCCCAGAATTTATCTGAGAGACCAGTGAAGCACTAGGAGAGTCTGTCCTGCCATTACAGAACAGGCACTTTACTTGAGACTCAAACTTACCTCCTGCTCTTTCAGTAATACCTTTTTTACAGACCTGTCTCCTTCCACAAGAGAAAGATAGAGGATCTGCTTAACTAAAATGAAGACAAATCAGGCTTAAGACTTGCATTAGCTGGGGTATTACACTGGGACAAATATGCTACTTGGGATGCAAATGAAAGCAGAGCTAAAAAGGAACTGGAGGGAGAAAACCAAGAATGGTGTTAAGGACTTGCTGGCCTAGGAGAAAGATCAGCTGTAAAAGGAAGAAGTCTGCAAACGGCTGATCAGGTGAATGAGACAAAAAGGAACAAGCATGGCAGACAAAAGCTAGTGTATGACTGAGGAAACGAGACAGAAGTGTGATAAGAAGTATGAAGAAGAGAGGAATTTGGCAGAGAAATGATACTTGCAACAAGCAGGTACATGTGTGTGTCATCTCCTGGTTCTCACAGAGGAAGGTAACACTGCAAGCAGCAAACCTATTAATCTATTGGCAATGGTCTACAGGGTATTCCTACAGGTTCCAGCTCTGTCTGCACACAAGAAAACTCCAATTCCTTTCTCTTCAGACTGATGTCTCAGTGGCACGTATTACATAAAACATTTTGCCACTTATAGAACTATGAACAAAAGCATCACCAATCCAGCTCACCCCTAGCACAGGCTCCTATGTAAAATATAGCAAGTACGTTTAAAGACTGTATGTATCACAACATATATCACAGGTAACCCCAAATCTGGCATTTCTGGGGTAATTAGTTAGAGCTGAAAGAAAATATTTTAGGATTGGGATGAAACAATTTTTAACCACAGTTTTGCTCATTCATACAAGCACAGAAAATTGTGATTTTCATGTAGTCAGTTTTACTCCTTTGGAAGAATTTACTGAATCCCATCTTGAAGGCTTACCTCACTGAATCAAGAGAACTCTTAGGCTTTGTGAATTATCATGAAAAGGTTTGCTTTCTCCCTTTTATGTACGTTTCCTAAGCTATTACAGTACATAGAGAACTTAATCTTACTTAGCATGTTGAAAAGCTTTATAGAGAAGCTGATAGCATGCTGATATCTTATTCCAGTAATCTGCTTAGCTCATAGTAGACAAGATCTGCAAAATAAAGACCAAATCTAAGACAGAAATGGATATTTGAGGAAGAAATAGTCTTGAGTTGTATTTGCCATTTGAAAAGAAAATTAATTTCCTCTTCCATTATTAAACCTTTCTGACACTAGTGCAACATTGTATCTGTGATGAAATACTGAATTACAGCACTCAGACTTACTTAGACATTTGTCTCTCGCACCTAATAGCAGTGAACCATTTTATGGAAACAGAAGCCTACACCATATGCCACGGAGATGTAAAAAGAAGGAGCACAACTCATGTTTCCCTTTTTGCACTGTGTTTATCACTGAATGGTTATCAAGAAATGTAAGCCCCTTGGACTTCAGTCCCAGTGGCTCTGCTTACTCCTCAGAAGTTAGAAAAACATGTGGGGAAAAATGGCTTTAGTGACTTCAACGGCAAAACTGTCCCTGGTTTAAACACAGTAAGGATTTCAGCCATCATTTAGGCAATTTCTCTGGTCTAAACTGAAAAAACAACTGGGCTGTTGTTGTGACAACAGAATCATCAAAACCAAGAAAAACTTAACCATTGCTTTTGGATCAGGAATGATAATGTGGGACTTGAAGCAGTTAAATAAAATAAAAGCTCTTGAGTTTTGCTGTATAATGTGCATTTTCATTGAAATTAAAAGCTTGTCTGTGCTGTTCATGGAAGTTTGTCAACCCTCACAATGTAAAGAGAGGTACACTCCTCCTCTGCTAATCAAGATAACATAAACCTGTTTCTTACAAAGGCAGGATCTCATCCCTCCTCACTGCTGTTATTTCAGCCAATATACAAGGTTTAAAACTTAACTAGATGTATTTATGCTTCAGTATATATCTTTATTTTTTTCACTTTCTCTTAAGAATTTGAATACATAACCCTATCCTACTGTAGTATCAAAGCTGAAAGTTACAATGACAACACAAGTACAGGAAAATTCTATGAACACGAAGGTTAAAGTCCCAGTGGTTATATTAACTTTGTGTAATAAGAGATTATAATTTTTTCTATACATATTAAAATGTGTAACAACATTTTTCTATTATAGAGAAAAAATAATTTTATTAGAGATATCTTGAATTATTAATCTGGTCTTTTTTTTTTTTTTAATCCCCAAAGTTATTGTAAAATAGAAAAGATTTTTTGAAAAAAGATCCGTGAGAAGTAAAGGGCAGAAAAGGTTTAGTCCCATCCTAATGAAATATGCTACGCATTTCCAAATTTCATCTTACAGAGATCAAAACAGTGGCAATGGGTCTCAGACTTTGGCTTATAAAATTGATGGACTGCTAGTATGCACCACTGAGTTTACCTGCAGTGATGGACAATGCCAGAAAAATTCTGTATGTATGCAACACAGCAAGCAGTGCTAATAATATAGATGCAAAATAAATACTGTAAATTACAACAACATAGCTTCTGGCACTGTCACAGATGTTCTACTTCATTATTAGATATTAGAGTAATATCCCAAAAACTGGAACCACATTGATTATAAGAGATGTTTACTCATGGATGAGCAGTCCTACCTTTCTGTTTCAGTTGCGGCGCCTTTCCTAGTTTGTTTTTGACTGCTATATCTTTCCACTTTTCTGGACTGCCTGTGAAATGACATGTCAGAAAAGAAATAAACAGAGAAGAAAGAGAATACAGAAATATGAAGATTATTTATTAACGTATCATAAAGGTCGTAACAGAAATGGCTGACAGACGAAAAAGTGACAACTATCGTCATGAACAGGCTGGTGAACTCAAGGTTTAAGACATGTTACACTGATTAGGTTTGATTGAGGCTGATGGTGTCAAAGTTATGAGGTACCAAACCAAGGGAGATAACATTAATCCTGACTGAACCTGCAGCTAGTTCCCAGTTCACAGTCTGTATTTAATCAGAAACAATGCCTCCTCATAGGCCTTTCAGTCATCACTTAACAGCATGAAAAACAAATGCAGAGTAGACAGCAGGAAAAAAATACTGCAGAAAGGACCAGAAAATACTATTCAAATATAAACTTTAAAGATCTAGATTTCAAAAGCTGAACAAATACTGTGTCACATTTAAATAACGCTGTCACTATATTTATAAAAACTTGGCTTTTCAAAAATGTCATTGTATTAAAAACTGTTAAAGTTTTTTAGAAATAGTTTAAAACAACTGTATGTTTTTTCTGGTCAATATAACTTATATGTTTCACTCCTTTACTCCTTTCCTACATAAATCTTTTAGATAATCCATCCAACATTTGGATAGTGAGGCACTAGTTACCTCTGATAATCTAATAATTTACTTTGATAGCAAATAAAAACAATTAACAGTAATAGGAGTCAATAAATGTAAGAACAAAGGTAAAGCACGTTTCACCAGTATGATCCAGGACTATAAACATATTATGAAAACCTCTGCAAGTCATGCGTGTTCCAAAATTTTGTTTACTATCCATAATAATGTGAGCATTTACAAATTAGGATTTACAATTTTAATCCTCTGGTAATTATCATTATATATAAATAAAAAGTGCATACAGAATTTCAGGAGTGGTCAAAACCAGGGAGCGATGATTATTCATCAATAGACCAGAAATGTTGACAAACGCTAACTTGCATCTTACACTGGTGGAAGAAACATGTATAGGAACTTGTGACGATATAATCAATGTCATATATTAAGCTATGAAAGAATTACTGTGGGCAAAACAATAAAAATATTATTTAAAAAAATATTTGAAACCTTTGTAGTTATACAGCATCCAATGTCTGAAATGGAAGATACTTAAACAGCTGTAACACCAAATTACACCCAAAGAATATAATCATAGTGGATTTTCATGATTTGTACCCCCTGCAATATTTGATGAGCATTATATTGTGATGCAGTATGCTCCACAACAGAGGAAATACTGCAGCAAAACACAACATGCTTTTTGCAGGAGCAGAGGTCATTCCCTGATGCTTTCTGTGTTTTCAAAGAATAGATTTTCTTACCAAGAAATAGTATCTTGGATTAAAAATTAAAATCCCCTTTGTCCTCAAACTATTTTATCCAGATTTTTTTTTTTTTCCATTCTCATCGCTTTTTAATATTTTTCTTTACCAGGAAAAATACAATGTCGCTACACAAGGAAACACATATTAAACACTTCAGCTTTACTTAAAACCTAAGGTTAGTGAAGTATTTAAAGTTATGGTTAGATCCACTGAACAACACGGCAGCATTAGCACTCAAATAATGTCACCCTCTTTATTTTCTGTTTGGTTGGTTATGGGGCTTATTTTCCTCTTCCTTAGACTGTGACATTACGTGCAACGGAGAAAGAGAGCACGTAGTGACTACTGTTTGTAGGACAGAAAAGCTGAGAGTAGGACACGCTTTCCTGTGAAAAATGACAAAGTAATACGTAGCACTAGTGAGCTGAATACACTTACTTTTCTGCACTCTGAGCTGTCCTTGCGAGCAGCACACATTAGAAATACATTTAAAATCACTACTTCCTTTCTGTTTCCTTCCTCTTGCTAAGAGGATGCTGTATACAATTCCATACAGCTCAGCAGCCTACTACAGCACTTGCAGTCCTGGCTCAGCTTGGTCATGCTGTGGGCATTGGCAGGGACCTATTTAAAGGCAGGCGTCCTTTCATGCCCATATACAAGGTACAGATAGTGCACTCATGTCATACTCAAATTTACTTCTTAAATGTACTTTATAGGGGATTAATTATTATCTATGAACAATATATGCATATATATACTTATACATAAAAAGATAATAAAACTATGTGAAAGTATTATGCAGAGCATATGAAGAATATACTATAACCAATACCTCAATTACTTGGAACTATGATTTGAGTAAATAAGGATACCTCTGTGCTGCTCCAGGTTTAGCACTTAGGTGGTCTACACTGTCCTGTTTTGGAATGCAAGACTCCAGCGTCCTTGTTCTTCACAAAATTTGGAAACATGGATGTGAATTTGGACAGAATGAGCAGAAACAGAGAGATGGTCACATGCAGTGAAGGTGGAGACATGCAGTCAAATATATAAACCAAAAGCATTAAGGCATTATCTGCTGAGAAAGGCTATATTTCTCATTTCCCCTTCCATTGATTTAATCCATACACTTTAAGGAAATGTTAAAATTTTTGGACATAATATCAACAATGTAAAATGCAATAAAGTAAAGAATGAAAGCCATAACGATATTTTTAAAAACCTTTATACTCTACATGCTGAATAGCAGCTTTGTGGCTGAATAGTTGCCATCATCCTTCTTGAGAATTATTCTACAGTATTGTTCATTAGATCAAGATCTAAACCTACACAGACCACCTTCCCTTAGGAATTTTAAAAATGCATATATTGTCATTACATTGTAAAAATTTCCTGAAAATGCAAGTACACGTCATAATTTCATGTATTTTGATGAAAACTTCATATTCTGTTGCCAGCCGGTAAAAATTAACAACATTTCAATAGCAAAGTAGAATAACTGACCCGTCTTTTTTTTTTTTTAAATTCAAATATAGTTCAGAATATTTCTTAACTTCTATATTATTTTCATTTCTGCTGAAGCTGTTTAAGAAGCTCAGAATCTGTTCATAGCTTTCATTTTGACATAGATACTATTAGCTTCTTGGTTTATTATTAGGTTTTTATGGAATATATGATAAAAAAAAATTTCTTGATAAGGTGTTATCAATACAATACTTTTTTCCAAATATAAAATTTGGCTTTTAATGAGAAAACTCAGCAAATTTTGCAGTCCACTAATAATCTAGGATATGTAATAAATTTACATCTATAACTCCATTAGGGTGAGGAAATGCTAAGGCTTCACTTTAAGGTCATAAATCTACCAACAGTCACACCAAACCACTGATCAACAAGGCCTAGTTATGTAAATAAAGAAACACTATATACTATTTTATATACAGACAAGGTATTCACAATTAACATTCCGAAGACCATGTGCCTCAAAATATTTTCACTATTGAGCGTAAAAAAAAAATCTACACACAGAATTACAATAACATTCCTATCAAAATTAAAAATTGCTATTTCTAAAGTGACAAGACAACATTTTTATAAAGTTTACTATCTAACATTTAAAATGATTTATTACTGGCTTGTACAAGAGACCTCAGTGGTTTACAGTGAGTCTGTTCATTTATGTAGCCTTAAAGCTATCAAGAATGTCCTGTTCAATACTTCCTGATTTTTCCAAAGATTTCTGAAAGGCTGGATCTACATGGTATGTGAGCTGGCAGGTCACAACTACTCTGAAGGCTTGGTACCTCTTCACACTCATTCCTAGAACTTCAATTCATGTCTTGTAGAACTGCCTCCCTGAACAAGTCCGATAGTGTTGCTGGAAAGATGGGAAAGGATCATCCAGGCCAAATCAGTCTGCCACTGCCACTGGCACCTCAAGTTCTCTTCATGAAAGTACTAGAAGGGTGCTTGCTCTACAGCTGGCTTCAGGACGACTCTTGGACAAGCATTCTTACAGATGCATGCATGACTGCCAAAAGCTACTTCTCTTAACTGAAAGTATATGAGCATTAATTTTTTTAAAGTCTTACTTTATCCATTCTTGGTTATATGCTGAAATTATATGAAGACTTCTCAAAAAGAACAGTCCACATACCATTAAATGCTCTACTTTCATTCTCCTTGTTTTTATCATCACTTACAATTTCACAATTTTGCAGTTCTCCAGTTACCAGAAAGTCTTTCTCTTTAGACATTCTAATTCTAACTTCTAATATAAAAACCAAAAAACCTCCCAGCAATGAAGCAAATTCAACCCAAAAACTATTCTTTAAAATGTCTTAAAGAAATACATGATACTAGCCAAACACTTGTTAATTCTTAACACTGAAATAACATCTAACTCACATCTTCATCTTGTCAAGGTATATCAAGGAGTCAGTTTTTCTGATATGGCAAGTGAACAAATTCCAGAATAACAAAAATTTTGCCAAGACTTTCACTGAAATTTATGTTATGAATCATTATCAATAAATACAATGTTGCAAAAACTGAATTTAAATGACAAAATTTTTAAATAATACGTAAGTCATATGTTTACGAAATGTATTCAGAAACAGATATTCTTGATTGCACCCTATATGCAAATTTGGCCAGTTTGTAAGATAAATATGGAATGTACTCAAATGAGTAAGATGACATTTGTCAAAGTCAATTAAACTGTGAAAATTTCATTTGAAAGTGGTGATAAGCAGTTAGTTACCCCTGCTGATCCATCAAACACTCATTCCCTGACACCCACTGCATCAGTTGTCAAGCACATCTTAAAAACCATAAAGTATAGAACTGAGTGGTGTTGACCAACTGCCAAAGCTATGGGAAATAATCAGAGTGAATATAAACTTAAGAAGCAGAAAACAAAGGTAAAGCGTCTTTGATTCCCTCACTGAAACTCTCTCTACAGACAAGGTGGGCTATTACTTTGTATTGGGCATGCAATGCAAAAAGCCCAACATTCTCCAAACTTCTTTTAATCTGGGAGAAAGATCCTGGAATTGGGAGGCTGGGACCAGTCATCAAGATTGAGGTTAGCCTAAACTCCCAGTTTCATCACTGACTGCATCACAGGGATTTGGCAACCAGATTACCTGCAAGACTTCCAAGCACAAGGTGGCACTGATATCACTAAGAAAATTAGACTGCTGTTTCTTTGACTCAAAATCTTTCCCATAACAGATTATATATCCTACAGATGCCTTACTGTAACATGTTTGCTAATAGGTATTAGATGAGTTCATTTTTCTCCACAAAACTTCATCTGACATCAAAAGGCTTACAATTCTGCACTAAGAATGGCAGTATTTAGAGGAAAACCTCATTTCAGTGACATGTGATATGGTTATTATTTAATTCTAATCAATTCAATGACAACAAGACTTTATCAAGTCTGATCCACTGAAGTCAAAGTCAGTCTTTCCATCGACTTGAGAAATGGGAAGTGAAATTACTTAACAATACCTCAAAGATACAAAGTACACTTGTAAACTATTAATAGCTGTCCCATCAAAGGGATGTGTTGGCAAAATTTCTAGAAACGCAGTACCTGTAAGGAGGGGTAATTTTGAAATAATGTCTCACAACTTTAGTTCCATAATTTATAATGCTGTCTTAAAAAAAAAAAAAAAGAAATGCTATCCAACCACAATCACACTCTTCCCACATTGTATTAGTGGCATACATCCAGTATCAAGCAAACAGGACAAATTACAGTACAAATATACGTACTGTAAACTTTAGCAGAAAGTAAGCACTAGCATTATAGTAACCGAGTTTTATCCGTACACCAGTCTCACAGTTTTAAGTGCAACTTCGTAAGAGTTTACACGCGTGCACTATTTACATGAGCAATCTGTACCCTGCCATTTACTGTAACACAAAAAATTTGAGGGGAAAATTTTGACTTTGCATCTCAATAGAAACTAGAATGCCTGGTTAAAAAAAAAAAAACAAAAAACAACCCAGATCTATCTGTAAAAAAAAAAAATTACTACTGCCAAAGCAATAGACTATCAAACCTGATTTGAGTACAAAGTTCATGGTAAGAAAAAAACCAAAGGTAATTCCATTAATGATAGGTGGTACTCAGCATAAAAAATTATTTAAAGCACTGGTGTTTTTAAACAAAACCTACCTTGTTAGGAAAACCTGCTCCATGGAGACCATCCTGAATGGACAGAATTTACGAACAGTGCCAATTTTTACACACATCAACTAGCAAGTGTACCAAGACTTCCAGTGTATCAGTTTGTGGGGTTTTTCTCCCCTTATGAACAGTTTGTTTAAAAAAGGAAAAAAACCCACCCCAATAAAAATAAACACCTAGACAAGAATAGGCTCAACAACAAATATTTATCATATTATAAAGCACCACAGTGAAAACACCACCAACATTTACAGAAGCAGGTAAAAACACACTAAAGAACATTAACACAGATGACGTTCTGTTGTATTAGACTTATTTCATGGTTTGTGACCATTTAGGCAAACGGGAAACTTGAAAAGACATTAATTCCTTGGTGCTTTATAACAATTCAACAAAATACAGAGATGATACCTAAGCTGCTGTTTTATTTTGGGCTTCTGGAGGTTGTAAGTCTCTCTCAACATATATGCATACTTTTAAATTTCAGTATACTCCTCTGAGAGTGCAAGATGCAGTAAGCCACTTTTCAACTGGGAGGAGTTGACTAGTACCTGTCATCCTCCGGAGATGCATGCTGGATATGAATCCTGGGACTAGTAGGTCGTCTCCTCTCTAGTGAGGGGGACCATCTACCCCTGTTTGCCCGTTCAATAAAACAGGAAAAAAATAGGATATTTAGTTTGTGATAAAATTAATTATATGGGACTTGGGACTGGAAAAATACCCCAAAAAGTAATGAGAGTGTGTAATTTAATTATTTTTTCTAGCAGTTTTCTAATCCCCACCTATACTATTCTCATGGCTGTTTAATGCAGAAACATTACAACTGAAACAAAGAGAATGTATGCCCGAAGATGCAGAATTTAGAACAATATAAATATTTTACATAGGGTAACATTAAGTTTTCAAATATTCTCAAATGCTAGACTATCAAAAAACCCATCTTTCGCATAGAAAGTTGTAATTCCAAACTAGAAGAGCTTTTCAAAGACCATATTATGGTAATTTTCTGTCAACTACTGGCTGGTATTTTGTTAAGCCTATCTCCTAGCTCTTTGCACTGAAAAATGCTCTCTCAGTAAAAATGTAGGACTATGAATTACAAGAAAAATTCTGAGGCATAAAGTGACCCTTTTCTGGAATGTAATGAGAGAGTAAGGTAAATTAATTAGCTACAACTAAGCTACACACATTTGTGTAGAACCACTGGGGTAATTTTTCTTTCAATTAAAATATATATATTGTGTGCAGCCAGCTTCCTCTTCTGTACATTTTTCTGTATCCCTGTAGTACATGCCAGCAGATTATGTTGTATAATTACATTTAACAAAAAGGACCTGAATTGTGAATGAAAACTGGTGTCTTATGTGATTTTTTTTCTTGAAAAAGCTCATTTAATTTAGAATGATATATACTATACTATAAACTGGTGTTGCTTATTTTGTTGTAATAGCACAAGTGTATGTATAACAATTTGCAAACCCAAAATACACTGATTAATTTACAAAAAGCAAAATGTTTACATAAACTCTGCACAACCATCTAATATTTCACTTTCTGAGGCATCCTTCCAGTCCATGTAATAAGGAAAAGGATTTGATTTATGGAACATGCAAATAACAAAGGTTTCAAGGAGATTAGCGTCACTTGAACAGTTAGGTTGATCTTTCAGAGGTTTCAAGAGCAAATAGGTTGTTAGTAGATAGTTTCTTTTTCTCTCCAAAAGCAAGTGTTAAAGAAAATGTTAATGCATCAGTGCACTCAAAGCCCTTAATATGCTGATATCCACTACAAATATTAAACAGCATTTGATAGAATTAACTAGGTCATGCAGTATGAACTTTGAGAACATGCTCCTCTTTTTCACTGAACATGGAATGACCATGAGCCACAGCACAATGCAGACAAACATGCAATAACCTATTCCTTTACATGGTTGAAAAGAACTGGAAACACAGTATGCTGCATACCTAATGCAAACAGTTATTTTACTGTACATTATTTTAAATGTAAATGGTGATATCCCACATAACTGTTAAGGGCATGCAATACAAACACCCAATACTTCAGATTTACCAAAAAAAACTTAGAAAAAACAACATGAAATCAGGACAGGTCTTAATTGGATCAAGTGACAGCTCCAACTTCGCTGTTATCTATTTATGAGTAGGTAACAGGTAACTATTCAGTTTTGTATCTTGTTTAGGTGCTACTGACCAGCTGATAGGAAATGTCCTGAAGATCTTTGAAATGTTTTGATTCCTACTGCAGTGAAGCACCTCAGAACAAATCTAACACAGATGCTGGGCTGCATTTTGCAGATATGCTGACCCTGTTGTAATGAACTAATCCCTGGGCTGTGCTCCTTGGTTTTATTTGCTCAGATCTCTACTAGCCAACCTCTCAGGACCAAAGCATACAAGTACAACTGCTCTTGTGCTAACTGCTAATACACACAATTGCATGAAACATAAGAAACTTAGAAGGTAAATAAAAGTCACGCTACTTCCTATTAGGTAACTACCACTGGCTGCAATCTTATGTCAATCTGGGGAAGATGCTATTACGATCAGAAACCACTGCTGAATCAGTTCAGATATCACAATTAAATTTCATGCCTATGTGCTTTCCTGACTGGAGGCTGGGGGTTGCAAACAAATTTCTCCATTCTAAAGAAGTGGTATCCAATTTACAAGGAAAAAAAGCATAAATTTTGAGATACAGTGAAAAGGAAAAAAAAAAAATCATACTAAAGGAAGTAGTAGCAGCAAAAATGTTTTCAATGGCATTAAGGGATATTTATGACTATATTGTAAACCAACAGATCATCACAGGAACTTCAACCCCACAATCATTTTGAAAAAAAAACAGCTTGGAGTAA